GACGCCCCGCCCCCTCCGAGTAGGCCACGCCTCTCAGCTCTTAGCCCCGCCCACGCCGAGATAAGCCCCGCCGCGCGTGTCGGGGACCCGCACCCCGAGCCCGGTTGTCACACCCCCAGCCCTCCCTCCTCTGCCCCCCATGGCTCCTCGAGCCTTGCTCCGCAGCCCCCGTCGCAGGTGGTGGCTCCCAGACGTAGAGTCGCGATGGCGGTGACAGGGAATGGGAGCTGCTTCCCAAATCATGGTCACCTTCTGCCTCTCAAGAGACCCTCAGCCAGGGGGGCACGGCCTCTGGGCCCGTCCCATGTTCTTCAGGGGGTCTCAGGGACCCGTCCTTGGCTCTGCCGGGGTAGTGCCTCTCTGTCTGGGACAGATGATGCTCTAAAGAGCTAAAATCTGGTTTGGGGCATAAACTTTATTTTGCACAATCAGCTTCTTTTCTCCTTGGCACTAGTGGAGGCAGGGAAGGACAGCAGGAATGTCCTGCACTGGTCTCTGTAAGGCGACAGGCTTAGGGAGGGAGCACCTGTCCGGCTGCTCTCTGGAGGATTCTGGCTGAGGTCTCTTCTCTCCCGTCAGATTCCGGGAAAAGCAGATACCCCAACCTGCAGAGCATCCTAGGGCTCAGACTGCTGCTTTCTTGTGCCCCAGCAGAGTCCTCGCTGGAGAAGCTTGCTGAGCAGCAGAGATGCCACAACCACCACCATCAGGGGCACAGTGGCAGTGCTCAGAGCCTGTCCCAGCCCGTGCAGGTAGATGCACCAGCTGGGGAGTGATGCTATTCCCAGGCTCAGCACCCCAGGACATACAAGGGGAGCCAATCTCTCTGGCTGGAAGCCTATTGGGGCTACAAAGTTTTGGCCTTGGTGGCCCCAGGCTGCTGCAGAGCTGTTGTCCAGGCTGAGGCTGCAGGAACCCATGCCAGGGGCAGTCTGGAGGCAGATAGATGGGCAAGGAGTCACCACCCCATCCATCCAGGCAGCAGGAGCAGAAAGGCAGCAGTGAGCAGGGAGGGGGGCTCTGCGTGGGGACTCGGCAAGCTGGACCTCAGGGGGACACATCTGAAGGGTCCAGTGCCAGCACTGCACTACCCAAAGGCCTGGCCAGGAATCCCACCTTGGCCACGCTCTTGTCCTGGTCGTGCAGGTGAAGGAGCAGCGGCAGCAGCAGTGCAGGGCCGTCCCGCACCTCCTTTTTCATCAGCTTCATCTCAGCCATGAAGCCCATCACCACTCGGAAGAGACGGATGGAGAGCTCCCCCACGGCGTCCGACTCCTTGGGGAGGAGGGAAGGAGGACCTCAGGCAGCTCTGCTCCAGAAGGAAGCGAAGCTGCGGCACTGCAGGTCTGCCATGGGGTCCTTGGGGCTGGGGGCTGGAGAGGAAGGCCCTGCGGAGGGCCGGGTGGCTAAGGGTAAGGTGTGCCGCCGTCCTGCCACGGCCAAGGCTGGGTGAGCGGCTGCGGGGAATTCGGGATCGGGATCGTGGCACGGGCGGTGCGTCCTCCGGCCGCCCGGGGGCGCGCGGGGCGGGCGGGGCGCGGGAAGTGACGGCGGCGGCGGGGCCGGAGAGCGGTACGGGCGGGACCGGGCGGGACAGGGGCACGGCGGGGAGGGGAAACGGGACGGGGCAGGGGCCCGGGGGCGGGGCAGTGACGGGGCAGTGGTGGGCTTGTGGTGGGTCAGTGCTGGGGTCTGTGATGAGACCAGTGATGGGGCAGTGGTGTGTTCAGTAGTGGGATCAATGATGGGCCAGTGATGGGACAATAATGGGGTCAATAATGTGTCAGTGATGGTCGGTGCTGGGTGATGGGGTCAGTGATGGGTCAGAGATGGGTTCAGTGCTGGGGTCAGCGATGGATCAGTGGTGGGTCAGGGATGGTCAGAGATGGTGGTCAGTGGTGGGGTGGGTACCGTGTGTTCAGGAGGTGCAGCCATGAGGTGGGGGCAGCGATCATCTGGGTGAAGCCGTTTCTATTTGTGCACCATGTGTGGGTGCCGAGTGGTTTGGAGCGATGGGGGGGTGCAGGCAGGATGGGTGTCCTGTGTCAGGGTCCAGGGTGGGGAAGTGGGGTTGCCGCGGGGCCCTGGACAGACGTGTCATTCACACCAGGGAAGCAGAACCAGGCTCTGTGGTTGGTCATGAGCCTGGGCTGCTTCCTGCCGTGCTGCTGCGCAGGCACTGAGGGCGCAGGAGCCGGCAGAGCTGGCAGGGTGAGTGTGAGCAGGGTGAGTGTGGGCAGGTCAAGTGTGGACAGGATGAGTGTGAGCAGGGGGAGAGTGAACAGGGTGAGAGTGAGCAGTGTGAGAGTGAGCAGGGTAAGCACAGGGAAGGTGGATGCAGGCAGAATGAGTGGCAGGCAGGTGCTGTTGGGATCCTGGTGTGGGTTTGCTGGGTGGATAGAAGAAAACCATCACTCACTCAGGGTGCCAGTGGGGTCTTGGGGTGCTGTCTGGCCTCTGAAGGGGTCATTGCAGGCTGAGCTGGGAATCAGGGATCTTGGAGCTAGGGGGGCTACTGGGGGGCACCCTGAGGGTGTAGGAGGGCGAGCCCAAGCTCTCCCCACCCCCCAGAGGGGAAGTGGAGCAGTTTGCTCAACCCCATTCTGTAAACGGGTGTGGCAGTTCCTCCTGCCTTCTGCCTGTGGCTTCTCCTTCGCAATGGGAACAGCCACCAGGCTGGGAGAGGGATCCCCACCACATGGTGGTTGTGACCCCTCAGAGGCTGTCAGGGCCCCCTGGAACCCCCATGCTGGGGACACATGTAATGAGCTGGCTGGTCTGACAGGTGCCCAGGTGGCAGGAGCTAGTGGCAGAGCTGGGGAGGGGGCAAGGCCAGCACTGTACCTCCTGCCCCTCTGCTGGTTTGGCAGTGCCAGACCTGCCTGCAAGTCTCAAGGCACAGATTCCTGGAGCTGGCACCGCATGCCACTTACCTACCACTGTTGTTTGACCTTGGACCTGCCGCTAATCCCTATGAACTCATCTGTCCGCACTGCTGGGGAACTGTGCCCACACTGGGGCCAGTGCTGGGCTGGGGGGGACACACACGATCTGTCCCTCACTAAAGTGTGGCCTGCTTGGTTTCCTGTCAGTGAGAAGAATGGGCTCGGTGTCAGAGGAGCTCAGCTTGGTCCCCCTGCACCAGAGGCCGGAGCTGCTGGAAGCCTGTGCCGAGCTGCTGCGTGAGGAGTGGGGGAAGAGCCGGGCGTCGAGGCTCCACATGCTCCAGCGCTCCTCAGACGCCTTTCCCATCTGCCTGCTGCTGCTGCGGAGCCGGGGCCCCACCGAGATCCCTGGCCCCCGGGAGGGTCCCTGCCAGCTGGTGGGCCATGTCCGACTCTCCCGCGTGGTCGGCCGTCCCCGTGACCTCTACGTGGAGAGCGTGGTGGTGGCCCGGGCGCTGCGGGGCCAGGGCTACGGGCGGCGGCTGATGGAGGCCACTGAGCGGTGGGCCCGGGCCCAGGGGTTTGGCTGCCTGCACCTCACCACCCACGACAAGCAGCATTTCTATGCCCACCTGGGCTATGTCCTGGGTGAGCCGGTGCAGAGCGTGGCCTTCCTCAGCCCTGCCATATCCTCCGAGGTGCTGCGGCTTTTCTCCGCCCCTCCTGGTGCTGCCATCACCATCAGGCCAAGGGTACCTTCTGCCCCCCCGCCTCCCCTCCCACCCCTCACTGTCCCACCACCCCCCCCTCCACCGACTGTGATCTGGGCAAGGGGTGTCCTGGCTGAGAACAGCAAGCAGAGCCTCCTGAAAACCCCCCACCGTGACGCCAAAGGGCTCCCCATCTTCTGGATGAAGAAGGACATCTGAGGGGCTGGGGCCCCAGGACGGTGATTAAAAGCAGTGCAGGCAGGAGCTGCCTGCTGTGGCGCTGCCTGACTGCCTGCCATTCTTCAGGGCTGGCACTAGCTCCCCCAGCCTCCCTGGTTCACCCTGGCCCCATTGCTGGGTGGGTCCTCACACCCTGCCCTGCCTGGGCACACTGACTCCACTCCCACCTGGCTCCTGGCTCACCTGGCCATGGCTCTGGGACCACCAGTGTGGCAGGGAGACAGGTCCAGTCTAGGCTGTGGGGCTGGAACTGATCCCGGGAGCGCCACCCAGTCCCAGCAGTGTCTCCTCCACTCAGGGGATTCACTGAAGGGCAGCTGGGGCTGATGGTGTGTGGTGGTCTCCAGCACGGCCACTGCTCTTGCCACTGAGCAGCCATGGATAAACCAAGGCACACGCTGGCTGGAGGGGCACCAGGGGGAATATGGCATGGCAGTGGGGCTGCAGAGTCGGGTCCCTGAGCTGCATGGCGAGGGGGGCAGGTGGCCAAGCCCCCCCACCCCGAGGCAGCCGTTGTCAGTGAGAGCTAGAGGCATGGCAGTGGGAAGGTCAGGGAAAGTGTCCGGCCTCACGCCGGGGGATTAGCGCTGCCCTTGCTGCATCACGCGGCCCCTGGGCCCGTCCGCTGTCTAATCCCCTTGTCCCGGGCAGCTGGCCAGCACTGGGCAGGGGCACCAGCCCCCTCTGGTTCTGCCTGGCCTATGAGGGACCCAGCTGCACCTTTGGCTCCACCACACCTCTTGTGGGGCTTGGTCCCTCAGTAGGGCACCCAGCTGGGCAAGGTGCTGTGGTGAAATGGGAGGAGGGGGTCATGGTGCCCCCACTACAGGCAGGATTGGGAGCCAGTGGGAAAATGGAAGCACTGGGGTCTGTGGCTTGCAGTGCCACTCCAGAGCTGTGCCATGGCTGTGCTGGTGGCAGGTAGGGGCTTGACCCCAGCGTGCAGCAGGCAGAGGTGCCCACTGCCAGTGCTGAGGCAGGAGGGGTCTGAAACCCTCAAGTTTACCAAGTCTTGTGGGGGTTTTGGGTGGGCAGCACATGCCTGCGGGCAGCTGTGGCTGATCCTAGCCCGCTGCATGCCAGGGGGGCAGTGCCAGCACGGCTGGGGTGCCTGCTGTGCCCCGCAGCCTCACCCCCACTGCTTTCTTTTCCCTGCAGGGTGCTGGCCCTGCAGGCAGCCAGTGAGGTGGGATGGTGCTGGTGCTGGTGCTGTGGGTGTGCCTGGCACTGGGCACCACCAGCGGGGAGAGCCCAGCACCTGAGCCCCTGTCAGGTGGCCAGCCCTTTGCCGTGGTGTGGAACGTCCCCACTGGGCGCTGCCAGTGCCGCTTCGGTGTGGCGCTGCCTCTCAGTGACTATGGCATCGTGGAGAACCAGGACGGCTGCTTCATGGGCCAGAACATCACCATCTTCTACAAGAACAAGTTTGGGCTGTACCCCTACCTGTCACAGCAGGGTGTCCCCCGCAATGGGGGCATCCCCCAGCGTGTCCCCCTTGGCTCCCACCTCGCCAGGGTGGCTGAGGACATCCGCCTCCTCCTGCGCCCTGCTTTCCATGGCTTGGCCGTGGTGGACTGGGAGGAGTGGAGGCCCCTCTGGGCCCAAAACTGGGGGACCAAAAAGATATACCGGGCAGCCTCGAAGCAGTGGGTGCGGGACCGGCATGGCACCCTGCCGGCACGGCGGCTGCTCCGGCTGGCCCAGCAGGAGTTTGAGCAGGCGGCACAGGCTCTGATGGAAGAGACGCTTCTACTGGGCCAGACCCTGCGCCCAAGAGGGCTTTGGGGTTTCTACCGCTTCCCTGACTGCCTCAATGGAAACTGGGCCAAGGAGGCCAACTACACCGGGCAGTGCCAGCCGGCAGAGGTGCAGCGCAACAACCGGCTGGGCTGGCTCTGGGCCGCCTCTTCAGCCCTCTACCCCAGCATCTACCTGCCGCCGGCGCTGCCACCTGCCCTGCGCCACCGCTACGTCCACCACCGGCTGCGTGAGGCCCTGCGCGTGGCCGCCTTTGGGGCCCGCGGCCTCCTGCCCGTGATCGCCTATTCCCGCCTCTCCTTCCGCCGCTCACCCCAGTTCCTGGAGCTGGTAAGCACTGTGGGGCTGGAGTTGGTAGTGTGTGTGCCAGGGGGTTCTGCATGGCACGGGGACACAGCCTGTGCCTCCCCAGCCCGGTCATGTCTCTGTTCCTGGCAGGCTGACCTGGTGCACACCATCGGGGAGAGCGCAGCGCTGGGAGCAGCTGGACTCGTGCTCTGGGGAGACATGTCCTATTCCCGCTCAGCTGTGAGTATGACCCTGCACTGCACTGGAGCCGGCACATGGTGGGCAGCAGGAGGTGGCATGGGACATACAGGATGGCCATGTCCCTGATGCCTGCTGGGGAGGGGTGACCAGAGGGTCTCCGGTTTCAGGGCGGGTTCTCACTGGTGCTTCCTCCCCAGGAGAGCTGTGCCAGCCTGCGCCACTACGTCGTGTCCACCCTGGGCCCCTACGTGTCCAATGTGACAGCGGCAGCCCAAGAGTGCAGCTACAGGAAGTGCCATGGACACGGGCGCTGCGTGCGCCGGCAGCCCCATGACCTGGGCAGCCTCCTGCACCTCGGACCCGGTGCCAACCCGCCGGCTGCCTTCCGCTGCCACTGCTACCATGGCTGGGCAGGAGAGAGCTGTGCACAGAGGGTCCAGCCTGGCCCTGCTGCCTCCTGCCTGGTGCCCACCCACACTCACAGCCTTTATGGGCATAAGGACCTCCCGCCCTCCGATACCTGCCCACCACAGGGCACGTGGGACTGGTGACCCGGGCTGGGGACCGCCACGGTCCCCTACCCTGGCAGCACTGCTGCTGGCACTTCTTAACAGTCTCATTAAATTAAATAAATCCTCCTGGCAGAGCTGGCATGGTCCTTGTGGGCAAAGCTGGGGTGGGGGGGCTTTGTGGTGCCCCCAGCCTGGGCACAATTGCCATTGCTACTGAGAGATGGCACAGACCCCAGTTTGGCTCTGGATGGGTCCAGTGGGGCCTCAGTTTCCCTGCATGGACTCTGCCCTGATCCCCTGGTGAGCTGGCAGCCCCTTTATCCTGGGAAAGGGGGTATGGGGCACTGCCACAACCCGCTGTCCCTTTGCCACACTGGCACTGTGCTGCTGGCAGCCTTGTCCACACCACCGGGCCCCCCTCCCCACAGCTATTTTTATCCCCCCCCAACTGTGTTTCTCACTGTCCTATTTTAAGCAGTGCAGTTGGCGCACTGGCAACTCAGTGCCCAGCTCCCAGGGGCCCCGCACCACCTCAGTGCCCACTCACACTGCCCGGGCGCAGGGCAGAGGGAGCCATGCCCAGGGAGGCTGCAGAAGGTACACTGGGAGTGGGCTGGGGGCTGGTGGGGGCCCTGGCACCCCAGGGGAGACTGGGTGGCACGGGACTGTGGGGTTGGGATAGAAGCAGTGGCCAGATGGTGCCCTCTGCCACGGGGACTGTGGGCAGAGATGCCTGCCCAGGGAAGAAGGGGGTCCTGGAGGGCTGCAGGTGCAGGGCAGCAGGGTTTGGGGAGGGGGCAGGCAGCTGGCTGGTACAGCCCCCTGCACCAAACCTATGCAACCAGCTCCGTCCCCCAGCTGGGAGGAAGCAGATGCAGGGGTGATGGGGATACCCACGGGCCAGCCCCTGGCCAAAGGCAGGGCCCTGGGGTGGGTCTGAGGGGACCTGGGTACCATCTGAGGCTCCCCAGCCCTGATGCCCACCAACCTGCAGGGTGACTCACAGTCTGGACAGCAGCAGCATGGCGCCACGCTGCCCTGCGACACGCCACTGACCCCGGGAGGGATTGGGAATGGGCACAGTGCCAGCCTGCCCTGCTCCGCCACGGGCACAGCACGTGGGCCCTGCCCACTGCTCAAAAATGCGCAAACACCCAGAAAAGAACCCTTTCCCTCAACCCCATGCTTGCTTCCTGAAATGGTGCTGGAGCCATGCCTACTTCCAAAGAGCTCCCTCACTCCCATGAGGGATGTGCCTACTTGGGCAGTGGGCACCAGGTCCGCCCTGGCACAGCACACATCCCACATCTCCATCTGTGCATCCCCAAGCAATGCCTGAGCACGGTGCCTGCAGGGCAAGCCAAGCCACACCACAGGCTGGCATTGCCCTGGCCCTGCCCACTGCCTCCTAGCTGGCCCTGGGAGCCCCAGCCAGCCCCAAAGTGCTCGGGCTCTCGGGGCCAGGGGTGGCACATTCCTGCCCCCAAGCCAGGGCCAGATTCCAGTCCCACTAACGAGGCTCCGGGAGGCTCTGGAATCGTGGCCACCAGGTGCCTGCCTGCTAAGTGCTCTGATGACAGCGTCAGGGCCGGGGGGCACAGCCAGCACTTGCCTGCCACGCCTGCAGGGCTGTGCCAAGGGAACACCGACCTTGGCTGCCTCCCCCAGCACAGCACTGGGCTGCCAAGGTTGGGATCCCCCCCACCGAGGGGTCTGGTCCCACAGGAGTGCCTGGGGCAGGCAGGGGTTGTGGGCAGGGCACACGCTGACCCTTTGCCTCTGCTCCAGCAGACAGCATGGGAAGGGCTGAGGGTGCTGCGCCAGCAGAGCCCGGGGACCCCGACAGCAGTGAGCCTGGAGCCATCAGCCTGTGCCCCGTGGAGTCCATCAGCGACCTGCACTTGGCCTCGGGCGGGCAGAAGGGCACAGAGGGTGAGAACGCTGGGGGGTGGTCGTGCCAGCCCTGGCTGTGCTTGTGACTGGATTCTGACCTCTTCTCTCCCCTGCCTGCAGGCAACGGCCCAGCTCCCTCCAGCAGCCTGCGCCGGCCTCCACCTCGGCCCGTGTCCCCTCTGCCCCCAGCGCTACTGCCTACCCTGCGCCCCGCGCCCCCCGCCAGCCCCTGCCCCTGCCTCGGCCCTGGCCACCCCCTGCTGCTGGCTCTGCTGGTGCTCCTGGCACTTGCGAGCCTGGTCCTGGCCACACTGGCCATCTACCTGAGTGGTATGTGACAGTGGGCAGGGCGGGGGGCTGGGGTGCTGCAGGGGAACCTGCCCCCAACATGTC